CTTGAAGGAAGGGAACAGCTTGGGGCTGTAAAACTTCACTGATGTACCGGTTGTTGTTCAGATTACCCACAATTCGAAGCAATTGAGATCGTCCATGATATGCTATGGCACCCCCAGTCCATAACTCCGGGTGTTCGTTCACTGCAGCTTTCGATAATGCACTCCGGAAGGTGGCGTTCACCGACCTAGCGTCTGACACGAATGCGTCCATCATGGTACCACAAATTAAAGCGGGATTCGTTAGAAAACACGACACGCTGCCAATCAGCACTCTGCCTATCAGCACCTATTTTGATTTGCCAATTGTATCCGCTGGCGGCTATGGTTTAGCGTGATGGTGATTCTGCATAAAGAAGTCCTTGCTCGCAGTCCACGCTGCAGTTGACGTCTACGAATTGATGAAGAACACAATGAAACACCTGTAGCTATTGACCACTGTGCTGCCAGTTGACTAGTGGGGGCCGTACGTTCTGTCAGCACCATGCGAACCAAGTGTCTATCATCGCGAGCTGACGTGACATTTCGGGGTCCACTCCCAGATTTCCGAGTTGTCTGACACTCCGCCCACTGCATCCAAACACGCATCACTGTGCTTCTGTTATGCTGCACACGAGCGGCTACTGCACGATAAGACAATCCAGCTTCACGAAGGCCGATGATTCTCCCTCTTTCAAACTCCGTAAGTTGTTGAAATCTCGCTCTCTTTCGTCAAAGAGGCATGAGTAACGTCTGAGCTAACGTTTACCACTAGCAGATAACCTCCGATAACCATAAACGCCTCACTACAACCGTCTATTTATTCGGATCCATCCGCCGTTCAGAGGGCGCTTCTCAGCATACGCATGCGCTACGGGTTGGAAATTCCAATCATTTGCATATTCTGCTCTACTTTGCATTTCCTGAAAATTTCAGCTCACTCGCGTAAGTCCTTCATGGTGTTGCAATTTTCACAAACATGAGTTTATATTGCTCTAAAAAAAGCTTTAGTGCGACTATCTAACAGTAAATCTATTTTAATAGGTTAATTTATAAATTGCAGAATTTAAAAAAGAATCTAAATATGCTGCTCTTAAAATATTGTTTATTTCAGATTATTATGCATGCTTTACTAGANGGTGGATAGGAAGACAATGTACAGAATAATAAATGATTAAAATTTCAGAACAATTGAATAATTTATTGCAGAGTTACAGTAGCAAGTTCAATAAGGTGTTGTCCCGCCTCTAGCCTGGATACAAGCTGCCACACGGTGTGGCATAGACCGATTCCTGCCAAATTCGATCCAATAGTCGAACGAGGTCATCAACATTCCGTTCCAGATGCAATCGTCTTCCCATCATATCCCAGATATGCTCGATGGGAGAGATATCTGGTGATCTGGCAGGCCAAGGAAGAGTTTGACAAGCTTGCAGACAGTTCATAGCAACACGTGCCGTATGTGGTCTGGCATTGTCCTGCTGAAACACCTGCCCAGGGCGCTGCAAAAGGAACGGTAGCAAAACAGGTCTTAGGATGTCGTCGACGTACCGTTATGCAGTAAGTGTACCTCTAATGACGACCAAAGGGGTCCGGCTGTCAAAGTAAATGGCACCCCAGACCATAATGCCTTGTTGAGGGTCTGTGTGGCGTGCAGTTGGAAGCGGGATTCGTCGCTAAAGACTATACGTCCCCAGTTGGAATTATTCCAGCCTGATCGAGCCATGCACCACTGTAATCTGCCACTAAGAAGCAATCGGATATATATATATATANATATATTTGCGTGTGTGTGTGTGTGTGTGTGTGTGCGTGTGCGTGTTTTTCCAATGCCCACCAGATTGACCCTAGCAATTAAGGTATCAGCAGGGCAGAATATAAAATTCCTTTCGAAAAGGAAGTCAAAAGTTGTGGACATATTGACGGTATAGTGGATATTTTAACCATACTCAGAAGTCATAACTTTATTTCGATAGGATAATTTTTCCCCTCCTATTTCACTTATTTAATGTTTTTTTTCCTGTCCAAATGAAACAGGAAGTGACTTACTCCTTATAAATATGTGCTTACATATAGAATCGCAATATATTTGCTTGATTTCAATGCATATTGAATTTCAATGCATTGTTTGATTTCAATGCATTCAGTTCATTGATTTTCAATGCGTCCAGTTATGACAAAAAATATCATGGTGACTTCATTTATTTGGAACACACTCTAGGAAAGATTTCGAAATCAAACTGATTACCAAAGAGAATGACATGATTGAAAGCTACAAAACATGTTTAATTGCCATATAAATTCCGTCTTAATTTGTAGCGCCTGGTTAGATTTTGAATTTTTTTTCCCTTTTCATCCTCATTTTTGTTTTTCGTTTACTTATTCCTTTTTTTCATTTAATTTTAGTTAAGGATTAAAAAAATAGATAAACCGCGGACATTATATAACACCCTATTTATTTAGCTTTCTTCCACTACGAAACTCAAAATTTTTCGTATTTTTTGTCTTGAAATCAAAACAAAGAGAAAAACTCATTGCAGTTTACTACCAAATCCCATACATATCTTGAGTTTATAAGCGTTCTATTTTAAATTGATTTGCAGATTTTCTGATTTACCAATCAAGAATAAGCTTTCCTGGTCAATTACCAGAAGAATAAAAAAAAAATGAAAATACTGTGTAACTCTTTCATTTATATTAATAAGACACGAATATAGAGAAGTTTTTGAATTGTGACAAAATTATTATAGTTTTGTTATTATACATTGATTAATGACCTTACTTAGACTTAACGCAATTAAACTTTATGTGTAATTTTATAGTAAAAATAATTCGTAATATTATATTTTTAAGTTACAAATTATTTTTTTCATTTGCACAAGTCTTAAAGTCAGACCATTATCCATACAATTTGATTCCTTAGAATTTCATTAATAAAATTTTTTACCCGAGAAACATTAAACTCAGTATGCGTGTTAATTTACAGTATTGGTGTAAGATAATCTAAACACTTGGAATTGGTTTAGAAAATGTTTAAAGAATGTTCTACGTAACAAGCGTTGCAAATAAGAATTCTAGTTCTCTTATTTAGAAAATGCTTCTTAAGAAAATCGAAAATAAGACTAATGTTATTTTTTTCTGATGCATATCCCGCACTTTTATGACTTTCTGGTTCTAACGTTTCGTTTAAATAAATTTTCTTTCGAAGTTAAATGAATTAAAAAAATTATAGTGCGCAAGTTTCAAATTACTTTAGAAGAATCGGAAGACAAGTTGTGGTGACTGCAACAATATATTTCCTTTTCTCAAACTTTCGATTTTTAAGACAGCTCATTGGCATAATTTTACCTTCTAAAAGACAAAGGCGTAAGTTTAGAAAGCGCTTTCCAATACCAATTAGAAATATACATTTCCCAAATAAATGTCCTGTCAAACTTGGTTAAACTTCTCTAACTATTTAAATGAATGAATGAAAGCTTTGTGAAAGTTGTCCCATTTTGTTGATTCTGTCCCAAAATCATCCGTCTTGTAGCAACATTTAGATTTATTGTTATATCGTATGACGCTCGTTTTAAGTGGTTTAAGTGGAATTTCACTTATGCAAATATCGAAGATACAACAATTCTCTATTTGTTACACTATCATTTTAAAATATCAAGTTTTGAAAATAAAGCATGTTTTAAAAGTTTTTGTCTTATATTATTAAGAAGTAAATTAAGAATTAATTATAGAGCTATACAATGCGAAACGTGCATCATAGCACACATACTACATATATACTGCAATGTACGTACTAAAGTTGATATTCAATAAAGGAAAACTTTTGTCACAGAATGAAGGAAGAAAACACCAAGAACCAGAAGAAAACAAAAATAAAATAACAATAAAAAAAGGGGGAAGGAGCAGTGGAGATAAGAAGAAATGTGTGATGGAGATGGGGGTGAAATTCTAGAGGTGTCGATAAAGATACAAATGTTTCACGTAAACAGATTTCTAAGCATTTAAAAATAATATGATATTTGTAAAGTCACAAACCAGTCTAATAAATTTCTCTGAAGCGATTTTTTCTTTATATTGTTTAGTTTTATACACACATAAAACAACTCTCAATTATTAACTATTTTTCTGGTTCACTTTGGCTGTAGCAGAATTATTTAAAATAATAAATAACAAATAAAAATAAATAATATTTCGTGGCCATTTGAATAAATTGAGTATAATTCATTCTTTGCTAAGTCTAGATAAATGTCCTTCTCAAAATTTCGAAGCATCTGAGTTGTATATGCATACACCTGAACAAAACACCTGACTATATAAAAACCGTTACAAAACACCTGACGTTAATCACTGTAAAGATTAAACAGTTTAACTTAACTTATTATATATTTAAAGATTCTATATCTCGTTAAAAGTATATTATTTAGACTAAAAAATAATGAAAAACTAAATATTAAAACAGTTTAGGGTTGCAATGATTATAGTTTTTGTTATCCTTTTTTTGTAAAGTTAAACTACAAGCAGTGTTTACCAACTATTTCTTATCTATGCTGATTTTTTTTAAAAAAAGTGTGATGATCATGAAATAAAATTAGGAAAATGCTACTCATTTTATTAAAAGCGAAATCAATGTATTTCTAATTAAGATATACTTTATTTTCAATTTAGTTATTTAAAATTAATGTATCTATATTTATAAATAAATATTTTTAAGTTTCAGTCACTTAAAAGGAATTGCCAAACTCAGCTCAAATCAACTACATAGTACATTTGATAGAATTTTTTTCAGCTATTTAAAACCGTCAAATGGAAAAGAGGTTATATATATTTCAGTAATGTTATATGTGATTTAACTAATTAAAAGCTTAATTACAAATATTATGGTATGAAATAAAAAATACACTAATTTATATGATTTAAAAAATTAAATATTTACATTTTTTTCGAAATCAGTACTCAGAAATCAGTTGAAATATTTCAGTCAATATCAAGCGTTTGAATAAACAGGGTGTGTCTAAATTATGTTTTCAATTATGTGATACTAATGTGATATTAGCGAGAAGTGTATCTTATCTGATATCCCACTCAAAAGTTTCACAGTACTATCAACACTTGCTGCACTAAATCTAACACTCTTAAATCTTTCATTGTGCTGAATATTTTCTCATTTTGTCAGCAGTGCTCATTGTATAGGCCATCCACAGTAAGAAGACAATCATTAAATATTTGATCCTTCCCTTTATGTATGGATGTCCTTGTGCTAAAGAATAGTCTTTTCCTACGTCTGATTTAATCTTTCTTAAACTCGTTTCCACGGAGCTCTTATTTTAACTAATGGAGCCACTGTATTAACTAATCCTATTTTAACTCTTGAATCATCTTATGGTTGATGGAATATATGCGATTTTGTAAATAATAATAATAAATAATTGATTTGAATAGATATTTATTCTCGACGGAAATGGTTATAATCTTGACCCATAGTCTTTAGCAACCCTAGAGTAAATTGACTACACTACAATTAACATTTTTTCTGCTCTTTTAATGGAGCTATGTGATTCTGCATATTCAAAAGGTGGTAGATTCATACATTAAAGCTAAAACGGGGAATCGCGTTCTTCTTTTATGGAACAAAAGCTGCCAAGTTTCTATTGAATTCTCGAACATCTCTCCTCCATCATGAGCCTCAAAAATTTGAGAAGGTAGATAAAGCTTTTACCGCCAAATCACCAAAGCGGCCTTCAAGTTGTAGAAGGTCTCAATGTCTAAAATAGCACCTTCCTTTTGCCTGTAAGTTTGATTCTAAATGTCTTAAAGTCGCTAAGTTAAAATACGGCTTTTTACGAAATTCTTGAGTGGTCAATAAAAGTTAATAATTTGTTAACATCAGCCGAATGTATACCAGAAACATATATTTTTATCTAGAGAACATTATTCATGTTATATAGTGTTATTAGCAACAAAAACTAACCCTAATTGAATAGAAATTGTATGAGTTACTTACATAGTACTCTGAGATAGATATGGCTGCTTTCACCTTGCCCTTCACTGTTGAGTCCTGTGCAGCTATATTTCCCTCGATGCTCTCGAGTCACTTTTTGCAAAACTAAAGACTGGTTACTTATTATAATTCCTGCGCTGATGTTGTTTTTTAACACTTGCCCATCAAATTTCCATCCAGTCTCTGATACCCATGGATTTGCGCGAATATTGCATTCAAAGTATACATCCATGCCTTCTATGATATTAGTGAGGCGTAGTTTACTACCTAGCCTCAAACTCAGCAGCGGTACATCTGAAAAGGTGAATAACATATGCATAGAAGAGGTACAAAGTATTTATAATTATTATATATAGTAAATATTTATAGTTATTATTATATATTATAAATGATTTTGGTTAGCTTCTTATAAATATTGAGCAAATCAAACTGTTGGGTTTGATACAATATACTGTTTCTATTTTATACAATTTGTCGACAAATGTTCACAAGACTTCAATTACCCTCCATCAAAAATCTGTTCCCTTAAGGAAATTTGTTACAATTTTTAATGCAGCTGTATGTGCACGTTATCTTGTAAATTGTCACGTCGCAGTTACATTTAATTCATTTTATTTAAATGTTTTTACTTTTCTTAAATTTGAGTATTTGATGTAATAGAGCTACAACTGGCACTTGTGAAATTAAATTTTGTAGTTTACTTAAAATTTGTCCGAATACTGATAAATGTATGGCAAGAAAAACAGATTAGAAGAAAAATAGAATAGAAGAATAGTCTGGAGAATAAGTGTTTCGCGTAAGTTTATAAAACAGTAACAATTTTATTTTAATAGTTTAGTGTTATCTATCAATCTTCTATTATACTTTGTACAATGAAAATGAATTAAAAGTTGTCAATGAACGAGAATATCTTTCTTTTATTTTGATTAAAGTTAATGTATTTAACAGTTTGGTTATCGTTATTAATCTACTATTTTATGAATCTGAAAAAAATAAACTTGCATGAAGTATAAAAAAAATTTGCTTTTACTTGTTTTATTTTCATTTTACTTGTTGTAGTAAAAAATCAAATAGTCTATGAATGCTCGTGGAGATGTTTCTGAACAATTAAGAATTTTTAAGTGTAATATTGCAACACAAAAACCTGTAGGTCATCTTAACCATCATATCAACACCGTAAGTAGCGGTATACAATTTAATCATAATTTACAAATCAGTTCACTGAAATATGCTTTTTTTTTCAGTACAATTAACTTAATTCATCTGTACATGCAGATAACATCCAACTTTCATTTATCTCCATTTATACTCCTAAATATGATACAAATTGTTTATCTTTGAATAGTTCCTTAAGGAAAAGTAATTTCGCTTTGATATTTTCGCTTACCGATAAATAATGAACCAAATGATACAAAAATTTGACTTATATTACATGTTCTCTTAACTAATATATAATAAATATAATAAATTAAAACAAATAATTTTATAAGTAATATCATTTATCTAAGCAATTTCCTAATAAAAACAAACTTAAGTTAAGAATTTTTAAACTGAACTGAAAATAATTAAACTTCTTAATCCTTGAAAACATTTTCATCAATGAAAGATAAATACAATTTTCGTTTACATAAATGAAGCTTACTGAATTCATTTGTACCTACAATGAACATCTAACTTCCATCCGTCCTCAATAACACTCCCGGGTATTGCAGGGTTATCTGCTTGGCAGTATAGGAATTTTCCATTGTCATCACTAGATGGCGTCAAAGTCAAAATGCTGGTTGTGATGTTACCTTGGGCAGAAATGTTGCTGACAGCTTCCGTTAACTTAAAACTTCCCTTACGCCATGATATAACAGCAGACGGTCTTGATCCTCTTGCTTCGCATTCAAACTGTACTGTTTTCATAGCTGAAAGTACTTTCTTTTTTTCCTTGACATGCACTGATAAAGGTTGAACTGAAAATACGAAAAATAATCAAACGTAAGAAACACTAAAAGAATTTTATAAAAAGAAAGAAAATTACAAAATTAGCAGCAAACAAACAAGAGATAATTAATGACTACAAATTAAACATTAAAAAAAAAGATGTCAAAAAGACCTGACAAAACATAAATGTCCTTTTTTGAAAGAATTCTTAGTATTTAGGAAGAATTTTCATTCAATATTTTTAGATACTTTACACAACCTTGTAATTAGTAAGACAAAATTCAGTGTTTATTTGTTTCAGATGATGATGGTCAGAAAATTAAATTAGATTTGTAATCTTCATTTAATTATACAAACAAGTGAAATGACGATATTATTTACATTATCTTCATTAAAATCTACATTATTTGTGACATATTTTTTCAATATTAAATAGTAGATGCCATCATCAGTTGTGAAATTACATTTAAATAGGTGTTTAATTAAAACTCAATAATTTAATTATTTTTTATGAAGCTTATTTCAATCAAAATATATTTATTTTCTGTAGGTCTCACTTCTTTTCTATTTCACTTCTAACTTTTTTTCGGATGATCTTAACAAGCTTTAAAGGAAATACTATACGGGCCCATTTTATTACCCATTTCCTAAATGAGAAATTTGTCAGGATGACTAAAACATTTAGAAATTTAACAAATTTTCACTGATTCACAATATCTAACATGACTTATTCATTCCCTATTGGAGACGATTGTTATTTATTTGTAATTGATAAACTCATTTTGTTGTTTTTACTTTTAGTAGAATAAGGAGTTTTTGTTACGATCAATTTTAAATTTATGTAACGTTAAAGTAAATATGATAATAATATATTAGCATGCTTTATTCCATTATATTTGTTTTAAATTTTTGTACAAAAAAAGAATGAAAACCTAGTATTTCATTGGAAATAGTTCACATGATGAAACTATAATGCTAATTAATTTGAATATTTCAAACTACACATCTCTTTAAATTTCTAAATTTTTAAAAATAACTTGGTTAGTATTTTAAAAATTTCTTTTCAATCAATGTAACTGTATATAGCTCTGTACCTAAAAGTTGAATTACGTAACTAGTAAAAGTTTAATGGTGAACATAGATTAAATAAATTATTTCATAAAGAATTAATTCTATTGTATTAATAAGGCATTTAATAGAATGAAGCAATGAATGGTGAATATATATATATATACATATNTCAGTTTTCAATAATAATTTTTCGCGACAGGAAACTATCCTGCCGACTTATCTGTTACGCTTTGAAAGCCTAAACAATCTAAGTTCGTAGTGTGGCCGGTGCTTCTTGAAAAAGATACAGGAAAATACAGGAATCATAATATAATTTTATTAAAGTAAGGGCCAGAGCCCCAGAATGACAACCTTACATGCAGGTGGATAGATAGAGAATAGCACATTTGACCTTGGAAAGAGGGTTTTTATATCTTTCTGGACAATATATTTAAATGTTAATAGGTTTGTCCCCACTGCTGATTTAAAA